GCCTTCTTCTTGGTTCCCTGTCTGCATGTCCTCCAAGACAAAGACTATTAAAATTTAGCCAAGCACACCTATGCATATCCATAGGAGATAAGCAGGTTTTCATGCACACTCCTCCAAACGTTAGTGCCCTTTTCAGCACTGGAATACAAGGCTCAGGGTCACAGGGTCAAATTTGACTTTTACACTGGTTTTGCAGCTGATTCTTTCACAATAATCAGAGACTTAAAAAGTAAAACAGGCAAAACATTTCTCTGACAAGAAGACAGCCTTCTAGGCCTGCTTGAGATAATAAAAAACTTTTATTTAAACTTCTGAGCATCAGTGGTGGTTTTCATTGCCTTATTTTAGATTTTATGTGCCTGAGCCCTATAGTAGATCCAGTTAACTCATGTATATCATGCAAAGTAATACAATATTTAACCTTTGCTAAAATGATAGCTCTTACATCACTAAAAAATTAAACCCAAAGAAAACCAAAATCTTCCATGAGATTTCTTTGAAAACTTCTGTTTTTTTTTGCATCTTATGGACTTTCAAAGTCTTTGGGAAAATATTTCAAGTACACTGCTCTGATTTTAAATTGTTTTACAGCATCCACCGTGAAACATTTCTTCCTCACCAATGCAGTGCAGCAAAACTCCTTCAAAGTGTAAAAGCAAGACTTTTTATAATAAAATAAAAATCCATCACTTCTGAAGGAAAAGTAATAATAAAATTCAAAATTATAGGTCATAAAAGCCTCAGCTGGCATTAAGTCTTTCTATAGCTAAGCAGAATGGTTTGACTATCTTCAACATGAAATGTTTCCCACAGAAACGTGATTCTGACCATGGCAAAGGAAAACTATTGCAAACTTAATAAGGAAGAAAAAAGCCAGACAGAGCTAAGCATTTACAATTCATGAACAAACACAGGTATTTCTCTAGCCCATGCAATTCCTATAGGCAGTTATCTCTTTGCAACCACCTCACCTCTGGGTATGCCTCGAGCACTTACACACTAGTCAGGATTAGGCTGGGTCAGGCACTTAGAAGTGAGTTTGTCAAAGCATGGCACCTGGATGCTGCTGGCTGATTGTAGCTCATTCCTCTGTTATGAACCAACACTGCACAGGGTGCTTAAAGAGTTGTACTAATCTGATAAATTGCAAACAACTATTGGAAGCACCTGAGGTCATTGAAAATTCTGCAGCAGTTACACAATGGAGATGCTCAGGCTTCTGGACCTCACAAATTTCCACATGAAATAAATTAACCTTAATGAGCACCACTGCTAATAATCTCAGCAGGGGCGAAGGATTGTTTGTAGAGCAGCTTTCCAAAGCTTGCCCTCACTTCAAAGGCATGCCGGTCCATGACACAGTAGAATTTTTCCTCACTGTAAATCTTTTACTTTATCCAAATTTGCATTCCATATTTTTATTCAATAAATATATTTATCAATAGAAATGAATATAATTCCATTAGCTGTTGTTCAATGGTCACATCTTTCCACAGTAATTCCACCTCTGAAAATGTTCTCTTTTTCTGGATTATTCAACCAATTTGCCATCTTCCCAGATTTATAACATAGTCCCTCTCCTATATAGCTATATTTAAATCAGCCTTTTTATGTCCTCTAAATGTAATGCCTTTGATCTTCTTTTCTGCTACAACTACGTTCTGACTGAACAAAGACTCTTGGCAGTATAAAGAGCAAACAACTGGCCTTGAAAGTCATGAAATAATACTGGTTGTAAGCTTTTTTAAAATGAGATTTTTAATCAGATGCTGCTATTATTCTCTGAATGATATAGAGGAGGGTTTTTTGGGAGTGATATGGCAGTAAATGCAATTTGGGTATTTTACAAAATGTTTCAAGGGCAGCTACACCTAAACTTCCCATTATTACAATGTAGATACCAGTTATCACTTAAAAATACACAGGAAAGATCTTACTGATTTGTGAACACTAAAATCCAGTTATAAACCACTGCTTTAAATGAGTTGCACCTTTGGAACAGCGGCTTTCTATACATCATGCAAATCTTTTTACTGAGCTGAACAAACACAAAGGGAGATACTGAACACAGAGAGATAGATGGAAATGTTAAGAGTAACAGATGATTGCCTTAGTAGGAAAGTAGCCAAATTAAACTATTCTGAATGGTGTTAGTTTATCATACAAAGACATTTAATTTATTTCATTATTCTCTATGGGCAGCTACAGCACTGTAAGACCTTAGCATATTCAAGGAGATGAGCACAATGGACAAAGGACTCCTTCAGAGTGCAATATTTAATGAAACTTAAATTAGGTCTCAAAGGAGCAATAGAATGTATATAAAATATGGCAATGACACTGAGCCATTCTGTACACATGCATGTTTAAAAGTAATTGTCATCAAATTCACACATGGTCCCAGAAGATTTAAATGCATTTTTAATATAGCTTCCATACATGTAACTTTTTAAAAATTCATATTTCATTATAATTTCTTAACATGATGCACAGGACAGAAGGGTAAGGAAAAATCTACAGCTAAGACTGAATACTTCCTTAAGGAGTAAAAGAAAATTGTTAGCAATGAAGTGAAAGGCTAGAACGTTTTTGCTTCTGCTTGCCTCTCTGAATTTATATACATCAAAAAAAGCTAATAGAGCATGTATTAATACTTTAAACACTGCAAAGTAATGGAAAGATACTATTGCCTAATACATATTTTATATGTTCTTATGTTTCTATGTATTTATGTGGGGAAAGAAACAAACAATACCTCCAAATCAAAACAATCAAAACACCCAAACCCCAAATCTAAACCTGAATTCAACCCATTCTCTAAAAAAACACCTACCTATATAAAAATCACTCTCATATAAAACTCTAATTCAGTGTAAAACACAATAGTATGTAGAAGTTAATTATAAGCAAAACATTTTAAACAGGAAGAATTTAAATGTATTCATAAATTTGCTGTTAGCAAAATAAAAATGGTTTATTTCCCTTTTTTCACATAACTATGCAAAGAGATTGGTACCTAAAACCTAGACTCAAAACCATTAAAAAAACCCCATGATTTTAAAATTTGAGTTTTGAAAATGATCAGCTGAAATTATTGTGAAGCAAAGAACTGAAATTATAAAACAAAAGGACAACAAAATGGCATAGTTCTGGGTTCTGTTTTTTTGGTATATTGTACCAATTTTGTTCTATAATGCACTCTCTTCCAAATCCATTGAAGCTGTACTCACTCAGGCCAGAGGAAGAAAGACTCAAGACACTGAAAGACACTGAAACCTGGAGACACTACTGCAACAACTAAACCTAAAAAACCAAAAAGGACAAATACCTATCCTATTCCAGAAGGTGATAAAGAGAATTAAAGATAAAATTTGGGAGTAAGAAGTGAAGTCTGGATCTTCAAGATTTGACAGCTTATTAGATACAAAGCAGAACACTAGAAAATAAAACAGACCTTAACCAACAGTAGAGTAAGGTAAAAGCTCTTTACTCAAATGTAGTACTATCTCCCCCAGCCCTTCAGATGTATAGATGCTGTAGTGTGTCAGGCAATTCCAAACTGTGATTTCTACCAACCATCAACTTTTAGGGTTTAGGCTGAACATGCCTGTGGTATTAAGCCACTAACTGTTAGAACTTGTTGCATAGACAAATCCAGACAGGATGCCCAACCAGTTATAGCCTAAAGGATATTTACTTCTCTTGTATGTCTCAGTATATGTAACTTCCTGTAGACAAGGATCACACGTGACTCCTTCCATCCATGAAGGAATGCCTGCAAGCTATAATGAAATATTACTTTTTGCACCATCTCACTAAAGGCCTTTGCTAAATGTGGATTTTGTTCTCAAAACCAAACTCACAATAACCAGATCAGACAACTAGTTAAATGAAATTTTTGCAGCTTGGCTGAATCAAGGGATTATTTACTGCAGTTCATGCGGAAGCAGTAATTTGAGGAAATACTCTAAATCTTTTCTCTGACTTTTTATATTAATTTGAATCTTACTGAAATACTTTTCCTCCTCTGTAATCTACAGGCTTGTTTCATAATTCACCTGTCAAGACATATATAAAAGTAAAGAATCCTTTATACAAGCTTCCAGAGAACTAAGTCCTCCTGCAAATATAGTCCTCTTAATGCAAGTGTCACAGAAGTTCAGTTAAAAAGAACTGCACATCCTATTAGGAAAATTCAGGATCTCTCCTGTTTTGTATGCACCAACACCTGCAACTTTTGAAAGGGATGTCTGAAATCCTATTGTCCTATTTTGACACATTATTTTCATTGCTTGGGTATTCATACTTTACTGGAAACTGCTATTAAAGCAAGACAATCCTGATGGCATTGCAGATACAGCAGTTCTTGAGCATTTAGCAAGTATTTTTGTGCATACTTAAGTTTATAAAACAAACACCAAAGCCAGACATTACCACCCACACTTTTTCATTAAGGAGATATTGAATGCACTGTGCCAAATTGTTTTTCCATTTTGAGAACACACTTGAAGCTGCAGATCCACACACTTAACAAGCACTACAGGCATTTATGATTAGAGGGTTGACATTTATGTGATGAAATGGCTCTTTTCAGAAGTCATATTCTCAAAGACACTTAAAAAAAAATAATGGAATTTCAACCCCTTCACATTAGTTGCAACTTGAACTGAGACACTTTGGCTTTTAAAGCTTTAAGAAACCAATTTCAAGCCTGAAAGAATGAGCCAGCTTTTAAATGACATAAAAAAAAAGAAACATTACAAGACCAATCTCTATCTCAGTTCTTTAAAAAGGTTTCTTTCAACCAGCAAATTTTCTAGCAATTTTTTCTAGGTCTGAAGAATAACCAATTTCCTTTCAAACAGTAAACAATTAAGAAGCTACAATAATAAAAAAGCCCAATTCTTTGGGTTTTGAGAAGACGCAGTGCAATGTCCTGTAGGGCGCATCACCTACAATTTCAAAAAGTCCCTGTTAAAAATTCACACTTCAGACAACCATTTGGTGCATGGTATGTTTATTTATTAGCTGCAGTTTTGTGTGAAAATATGAAATTCAAATCAGTATTCGTGTGAGGGTGAACGAAGGTAATCATTAAAAATACAAAGTGTTCTGCAGTAAGTGTCCAAGGTAATTCATAGTTCAAATTATCACCAACTTTTACTGGAGTGCTGACAAAAGCTTTCAAGCTTCCTCCACTCCTCTTCCTAAGATACACCAACTGCTAAGAAGTACGTCTCCATGGCTCTTGAAGCCTAAACGACGGTCACTAACTCAAGACAAAAAAGGTGACCGATCCACAGTTCCAGAGGAACCACAGTTCCATGCTGTGGGATGACAGAAGATACAGGCGTTCTGCTCACCACGGTTTTCTTCTCCACAACAGCCGCTTTGAGAGATTCCTCTCGTGTTCCAAACCTTAGCTTCTCACATGAACCTGGCTCCCCTCGATCACGGTCAGTACCTCTCGGGTACACATCTGGGAGAAGGATTAACAAACCTAAACTGCTCCCCCACCCTTTCCGTGGAAGGGCCCGTTTCCATGGAGGGAGCTGAGGAGAAGGCCCGTGCTGTACGGGGGTCAGAACCGGGAGCAGAAAGGGGAGGCGCCAGTGGCGCCCAGCGGCGGCGGGGAGGGCCCGCAGCGCCGGCCGGCGCCGCCCCCTGCACCGGGTGGCCTACACGGCCGGCACCAGGCTCTTCTTATCTAGCGGCTGCTCGTCCTCGTCCAGCAGCAGCTCGTCCAACTCCCCGTCTTCGGCTCCGGAGGCCTCGGGCCCGCTGGCGGCCCGGCAGCGCCGCAGGTGCCGCAAGGCCCGGCGATGCTTCTCCTGCAGCCGCCCCAGCTGGGCGCGCAGGGCCTCCGCCTCCTCACCCGGGTCGGCGGGGGGCTTATCGGGGCCGGGCCCCAGCAGGGCCTGTCGGAAGAGGCAGCGGTTCTCGCGGCGCAGGCGGCGATTCTCCAGCCGCAGCCGCGCGTTCTCCTGGCGCAGCCGCGCGTTGTGCCACTCGCGCTCCTCCCGCTGTCGCAGCGCCTCGCTGTGGCTGGCCGCCAAGTCCGCGTACCGCTCCGCCAGCTGCTGCGGCGAGCCCCGCGATTCGCCCCGCCAGCCCTGCCGCCCGCCGCCCGTCTCGGCCGGCTCCGCGGCCCCGCCGCGCCCGGCGGCGGCACCGAGCGCCACCCGGCCCCCCCGTACCGCGCCGCTGCCCCAGCGCCCGCCCACCGCGCGCATGCGCCTCATCCGTGCCGCGCCCGCCGCCGCCGCCCGCCCGCAGCCGCCGCGAGCCGAGCGAGGGCTCCCGGTCTATGCAAATCGAGGCGGGGCCTGAGCCCGCGGGGGCGGGGCCGGGCGGGGCGGCCCCAGCGCGTGCCGCGGCGGTGAGCGCGGGCGGCCGGCAGGGGGCGGGAGGGGCGCCGAGCTCCCGCGCGTGCCCCGGGCGCAGCCACGGCCCGGCCTGGAGCGGCCCTCAGAGCCCGCCCAGGGCCGGGGCCGGTCAGAGCCCGGCCCGCCTGTCCTTGAGAGCTGCCGGGGCTGCGAGCGACCTGTGACAGTGCCTCGCAATAAAGAGTTTTGTGCTCGGGTCTGGGATAGACCTGCTCTCGTGTGCAGCTTAAGGCCTTTTCCCCTTCCCTTGTCGCTACGTGCCCTCGTGAGAAGCCCCTCCCACCCCCTTGTAAAGCACCTTTGCAGGGAGCTATAAGGTCTGCCTGGAGCTTTCTCTCTTCCAGGCTGAGCAGCCCTAACTCGCGCAATCTGGGAGGGGTGCTCCTCTGGACTTGTTACAGCAGGTCAAGGTCATTGTTGTGTTGGGGACCCCAGAGGTGGGCACAGCTGGACGGAAAGGCCTGGGCTGCTGTGGAACATGACAGCCCAGGCCGTTCTCTGCCGCACAAGGAGAGGTTTAAGTGTCAGATGTGGTTGCACAGTCCTCCAGTGTTCTTACCATTACTTAAAGCGGTGGCTGCGGCACAAAGGAAGGGTAATGTTGGCTCAGCAGCACTTGTTAAATGACAACCTGGGCGTAAAAATGTAGCTCATTATAACCTAGTGTTGCCAGGTTGTTGGGATTTAAGGAGTAAGACGTAGAATCGAAGAATGCATAATATGTGACTAGTTCTGACAGCTCATAGATGATTTCCCTTAAAGTAACAAGGTTGTTTAATATTCAGTAGAAAAGAAATAGGATGTGAGAACTCTATATTGATGGCATTTTGCAATGTATAATGGAGGCAGTAAATCCTCTGAAAGGCCCTTCAATTTCTCTCTGTCCCCCATTACATAACCACATATGTTGGTGCAGATAAGCACTCATTTTGGGACTTCCATGATGGTACACATATATCCCTCTGGGCTTCTATGTATATTTTACTCTTCAGGTTGTAAACTATTTCTGATGAGCACCATGATTTGCTTTATGATTCAATGTTTGGTTAATTACTAGTTGAGTCGAATATGGACCCTAAATTTGAAGTTGGACAAACAATGTGTGACGGTAATTGTCATAATTATTTTCCGAGCCTTTTCTGCTCTAAATGATAGCTGTTTATTTAAAACATTTAGAAAATAAACAGCAAAGCACTGCAGAACAGAAATAATCTTAGTTTTACTGTACTTTTTCTATGACTGCTAATCAACAGAAATGAACAAGTATTTCCTGTACTAAGAAATTTTCTAAGGAGATATTGACTGGGGTGTTATGGAAGTTCTACGTGATATGGGACTGAACCTGTTTTGCATTGAAAGAAACATGTTAGTACCTGTTTATGAATCGCCTCTTAATGTTGCTGCTTTGTAAATCTATGGATATACTCACTCAAAAAACTTCATTCTGAACTACAGACTGAATCCAAAATAGCACTGAAACTCCTCCATGCGTGTGGAAGTGAACCAGGACTTTGCACTTCAGAGAAATAGTGGAGAGTGTAACACAGAGCTTGAGCTTTTGATGACCAGTAAATTAAATTACAGTCATCATTAACGGCATCTTCACTTTGATCTGACTTCCTCAGGTCTTGCAGGGAATGTTGTATCCTGGGTCTCAATTTTGTTTATTCATGTATTTTAGGTTTTTTCATGTGTATTTTATACTGGAAAATACATTCATATATACCTGCATAAGGATTGATAGTTTCAGATTCCTTGGACAATGCTTAAACACAATTTGATGCTTGTAGGTTAAAGACAGTGACAGAAAGTAGGGATCAGGGAAAGATAATAAATCGACGTAGAAAAGCTTTCATTGTGAGATAGGATCACACTAGAAAGCGTTAAGGGGGAAAGTGAAAATTGAGAAGTAACCAGAGAAATTGTGACTAGTTGTACAGTTTTCAGTGATTTCTTGCTCCCTGAATGCCTGTGAAGAACAAAATATTTAAAACAGCAATACTGTAATAATATTATTCTATTCCTTTTGATTAAAGCCCTGTGTTTACTTAATGATACCAGGTCTCTGTAGATAAGAGAAAGTGACAGTGCTTGTAGACTATCAGCTGGCATTAATACTGAGCCCTGTCCAGCCTGCACAGGAAAATGACTCTAGAATAACACCTCACAAGGAAAACAGCATCTCTTTGTGCCTGTCATTCCCTTGCCACTGAATCTATACGTTTGATGTGAAGGGAATTCAAACAGTGCTGCTTGTGTAAATATTGAGGGGAATATTCTCTTTTAGCTTCAGTGGAAGATAGACCAAAAGCCCTAATTTCAGTTCACTTAAACTTTTTTGGTGCCTTTTTTCTTTTTTTTTTTCCCCTCTTAAGTTACAGAGTAATAGAATTATTTGGGTTGGGAAAGATCTTTAAAAATCATTCGTCTAAATCCCTACAATATGAAGGGACAACTTCTTCCATATTAAGCTGCTCAGAGCCTTGCCCAACCTGACTTTGAATGATTCCAGGTGTGAGTCATCCACCAGCTCTCCAGATGACCTGTTTCAATGTGTCACCACTATTACTGTAAAAAATTTCTTTTTTATGTCTGGTCTTAATCTACCCTCTTTCAGTTTAAAGCAATTACCCTTTGTCCTAGCACTATAGACCCTACTAAATAGTTTGTCCCCATCTTTCTTTAAGCCTTCATTAAGTATTGGAAGTTCAAGATAAAGTCTCCCTGGAGCCTTCTTTTCCAGGCTGAACAACTTCATCTCTCTCAGCCTTTCCTCACAGGAGATTCAGGCCTTTGATCATTGTTGTGGCCCTCTTCTGGGTCCACACCAAAAGGACCATATTTGTCTTGTGCTGAGGACCCCAGAGCTGGATGCAGTACTTGAGGTGAGGTCTCACCAGACTGGAGTAGAGGAACAGAATCACCTCCCGTGGTCTACTGGCCACATTTCTTTTGAAACAGCCCAGGATATGTTTGGCTTTCTGGACTGTGGGAAGGCACTGCTGGCTGATGTCCAGTTTTCCATTCACCAGCATCCCCACGTCCTTCTTGGCAGGACTGCTCTTAATCCCTTTATCCCCTGGACTGTATTGATACTGAGAGTTGCTCTGACCCAGGGGCAGGAGCCTTCCACTTAGCCTTGTTGAAAGGCCTCACTCAACATGAGGAGTAAACATGTGATCTCACTCCTTCAGTTTATGCAGCTCCCCCTTGATGGCATCTCGATCCCATTCTTTGGGTGTGTCAAACACACCTCTTGGCCCTTGGTGTCATCTCCAAATTTGAAGGTGTACTCAATCCCACTGGCTATGTCGGTGATGAAGATATCAAATAGTACTGATACCAGTACAGACCCCTGAGGGACACAACTCATCACGGATCTCCATCCAGACACTGAGCTGTTGAACACTAATCTCTGAATGCAGCCATCCAGGCAATTCCTTACTCACCAGACAATCCACTCATAAAATCTTCTCTGAAACTTAGATGTTGTAGAGGAATGTGTCAAAAGCATTACAGAAGTCCAGATAAATGACATCTGATCTGTAGCCCTTCCCTTGTTCACTTCATCACAGAAAGGCCACTTAGTTGGTCAAGCAGGACTTGCCCTTTGTGCAACTATGCTGGCTGTCTCAAATAACCTCCCTGTTATAGCTCAATAGATCAGTAGTCCCGAGGTTCATCCTTTCTATGAATGGCAGGTCCCTGGAATGCCATCCCAGCCTTTGAGAAATAGAAAAAAAGGTAAGGGAATGCCCCATCAAATCTCTCTTCCACTTCATACATTACTCTGATGCAGCCAGTGCAATACAGCTTTCAGGCTTGAACTTGATCAAAGCTGAAACTCTGAAAAACCCTCAGGATTATGACATAGATGCTTTGTGTACTCCTGAAGATGAATGAATTGCTGTGTACATGTGAAGCAGCCTCATTCAAGGCAGAGCAACCAACAGATTTAAAAATGCAATATAGGAAGCATTAGCTTTTAAACTGAGGTTGTAAGTGCCTTAAAAATAGCTCAGTTCAGTGATGTCACCTTTCCAGTTGCAAGCCCCAATTCAGCTCATTTAATGAGTTTATTTAGTTCTCAATATTTTTCAGAAATAAAGTGTGCGTTAGCAAACAGAAAGTTTCTATCTGACAGGCTGTGAACTTTGCAAGCGGAAGTAAGGATTAATTAGTAAATACATTTTTCTTGTATCCTTCAGCATGAAGGATAGTCTAGAAGACCATTACCAAGGAAGAATATCAAGTATCATTGGGTTGCATCTTGTGTCAAGATTTCTCTGATGGCATGTAAAAGATTAGCATGACTTGCATCACTGATTACATTTCAGTGGACAGAACAGAGCAAATTATTAGTGCTGGGACATGTTGGAAATGAATGTGATGAAACAGCTGCAGAGGAACAAAAAGAGATAAAATCAGGGAGAAAAACAGTGCAGATAAGAGAATAATGCAACAGGAGAAGAAATGGAAATTGTGATTACATGTAAGGGATATGTTTTCTGGCTGACAAAGAGTGAAAGAAACAAAGTGATAGTTAATAAATGATAACCACTAAACATGCTTACAATAGAAAATGTTTATTCTGCATTGCTTTTTCTGCTGACTTAACAGGGAGTTCCAATGTAGGATGAGAAACTTATGCTTCTATGCTGAGTCTCCAACCTATGGATCACCAATAAAAATAAAGCATGGGCTTCTATCGAGAATTAGATTTGCCATCAGTAGAGAAACAGTGAAACGTGGAGTATATCAGTAGTTTGCTAACAGTCCTGGAAATAAAGTAAGAAAATGCAGGTCCATCTATGGGTCCTTTTTAGGTTGAGGGAAGAAATATCCTTGGAGAAAGA